CTGCCTTCGGCTCAGGTCATGATCCTGGAGTCCCTGGATCGAGTCCCGCATCGGGCTCCCTGCTCGGCAGGGAGTCTGCTTCGTCCTCTGACCCTATCCCCTCTCATGTGTTCTCTCTCTCTCATTCTCTCTCTCTCAAATAAATAAATAAAATCTTTAAAAAAAAAAATATTTTAAAAAAAACTGCTAGAAAGTGCAATAGTCAGTGGTCCAAAAAAGACCTCTCATATACTACATGAAGAAATAGTGTAAGTCAGTTCCACAAAAGTCATAATTTTATAATTTTATGACAACTTCCAGTTGTTTATGCCGCAATACCAAGAGGAAAAATGTAATATCTTCATTTGGGAGTATCATGTAATCTGGGCCAAGATAGTGCTGTAGCTTCTGAAGACCTTGCCACTCTCTGTCCTGTTACCCTGCTTCTTTTTCTCCTGTCCTTATCACTACTTGATGCTGTATATAAATAAAAATATATATATGATATGTAGTCTGTTTTTCCAAGTCAAATGTAAGTTCCATTAAGGCAGGGCTTTTTTCTTTTTTTCTTCTTCACTGCTCTATTCCCAGTACGTAGAGCAGTGCCTAGCACATAACAAGTACTCAAAATATATTCTTTGAATGGATGGATGGATGGATGGATGGATGGATGGATGGATGGATAGATGGATGGAAGGAACTTACTGAAAGAGACAGTCATTAAGCTCAAGTGTTATTACCAATCCAATTTGGGTGTACCAGGCATCTGTGACAAGTTAAGTGTGACTTGCTTGTTAGGGCAGTAACTGATGCCAAAATTCCTATACTAGATACTGCCTTGTAATGCTTTCGTGGTCCATGCTGTCTTTAAGAACCAACCATTTTGGGGGGATGGGGAAAGAAAAACAAATTCCTTACCACTCTACCATTATTCACTCATTCATTCCAAAACATTTGCTATGCATCGGTATTATACCAGATGCCATGTTAAATATTGGGTCTAGAAAAAATATAAAAGCTAACACTTACTAGGTATTTAGTATGTGTCAGGCACTGAACTCAGCACATTACGTGTATTAACCCTTTAATCCTTTGCTTATAAACACCATTATTATTTCCACTTTACAGATAAAGAAATTGAGACACAGAGAGGTTAGGTGATTCAAACAGGTTCACTGCCTTAAGGATCTCAGTGTAACAAGGAAGGCAGATAAGGAAAGAAAGCTTTATAATATAGTACAATAATATGCTCTAATGAAGTTGTATACAAAGTGAAGTAGAAGCATAGAGAAAGCATTAAATCTGGGTGAGTCAGGAAAGGCTAACCAGGAGAAATAGTTTCTGACCTAACACTTGAAGGAGGGACAACAGTTTATAGTGCTGATAGTGATGTTGGGAGGGGGACTGGCCTGGGGAGAGCAGAGGAAATTGGTTTTGACTAGGCTGCGGCTGAGGTGTAGGCAAAGCACTAGGTTATGTGGGTCCAAATGTACAGCACATTGATTTGAAAGTGGTCTGGTTTAAGATGGCGGAGGAGTAGGAGACCTGGATTTCATCTGGTCTCAGGAATCCAGCTGGATAGGGATCAAACCATTCTGAACACCTACAAACTCAACAGGAGATCGAAGAAAAGAATAGCAACAACTCTCTGAACAGAAAAGCAACCACTTTCTGAAAGTGGTCTGGTTTGTTGGGAAGTAGCCTGGGAACCCACCACTAAGCACCTTTCCTTTTTGTTCCTGTCATTTATCTCACCGTTTCACACAAATCCAAGGTACTACTGAGCATATCTGTATTGATGTAGATCCTTCTTAAGCCAATAATTAATTTCAGAAGGTGGTATGTACATTTAAAATAAAGTGTTGTTTCAATTGGTAGGTGGATCTGTTGGCACCAATGATTATTCACAGCATCATGACCCAGGGTGCCCGTCAGAAGTTCTCCAGCCTCTACATCTCTCAGTTTATCATCATGTATAGTCTTGATGGAAAGAAGTGGCAGAGTTATCGAGGGAATTCCACTGGGACCTTAATGGTATGTAATTACTTCTTTCAAGAGAGTGCATGAATCTTTTAAAGAGCTTTTGACAAAGATTTCATATATGGGACAAACACTCCTAGCTTCTACAAACTTAATTCCAAAAAAGATTTTCAACTTATGGGCAAAAGAGTGATTATGGACATATGGATAAAAAGTAGCATCAAAGATCTCATAGATAATAGAAATGAAGAGATGTTCTGTTGACAGAAATATGTGATTAGGATTGAGTGGATTGATAACATTATGGGTTTGCTTATGGATATTTTCAGTTTGAGATGATAGGGCAATCACGTTGAATGTCCAGCAGGCAGGAGATTAAAGACTTGAATTTAGGGGGGCAAAACGATGAATGGACGTGAAGATTTGTGTCTTCCACATAAAGGGATGGGTGAAACCTTGGGAAATGATCACAAGACGCTAAATTAAACAGGCTTGAAACCTTAGTATCATTGTCTACTCTTCCCTTATTTTCATGCCTCGCGATGAATTGGTCCACAAATCCAGCAAGTCTTTCTCATATCTCTTCTGTTTCATTTTTACTGCTGTTACTATTGCCTTCATTCCTAACTAGTCATCTCCTGTTTCTGTTCTCCTCTAATAAAAGCTGCACATCATTTTTGGGATAATCATTTTATCAGCCCCCTGCTAAAACTTTTCAGTGTCTCCCTTTTCTCTTTAGAATAAAGTTCAAAGTCCTCAAATGGCCCTGGGCAAGATAACTCCTGTTTTCCCCTTTAGATCCATGGTCCTACTTCTCTACCCTGCTTCTTGTTCTGTGAGCCTGACCTGTGTGGAATACATCAACAGGCTACCTTATCCTCTAGCTTTTGGGAGCACTGGCAAGAGAGCAGAGGAAGGAAGGAGAGTAAGACCAAACATTTATTCTTGGGGCACCTGGCTGGCTCAGTTGGTAGAGCATGGAACTCTTGATCTCGGGGCTGTGAGTTCAAGCCCCATGTTGGGGGTAGAGTTCACTTAAAAAATATATATATATATATTATATATATATATATATATTTATTCTCCTGGTGGCCTCCTTGTAGAGGATTTGGCTGTATCTCTCCACTTAAGGTCACTGCTCCCTTCAGAGTGGCTTTCTCTCTCTGGTCCAATTACTATCACTGAGTACCAAACCACCCCAAAATTTAATGTCATAAAAACAACCATTCTGTTTTGTTCACGGATTCTATGGGTCAGGACTTTTAGCACAGTAGAGATAGTTAGCTGTGCTCCACAATATCTAGGGCTCAGCTGGGAAGATTTGACAGCTGGGGGCTGGAATCATCTGGAAGCATCTTCATTTGCATGTCTGGTAGTTGGTGCTGACTAACCTAGCTAAGATAGCAGCTGGGGCTATTGACTGAAGCAACTCTATATGGCCTTCTATGAGATCTAAGCTTCTCAGACCATGACAGTTTCACACATCCACCCAGATTCAAGGGAAAGGGACATAGACCCCACTTCTCAGTGGGAGGAATGTAAGGAATTTGTGGTCATTTTTATAAACCACTATAAGAATCTACCTAATTTTCTCCTTTAAGATTCTGCTCCCACTCCTTCTTCCACCAGGCCTAGGGATGACAATACCCTGCCCCCACCTACCTACCTAGTACCTATATTAAACTTTTCTCAAATTATTATAATTTGAGTGTTCCTTGTTTCTTGTTCAAACTCAGTCTTATACAGTAATTAATGCCAGAATTAGTCCTAAGAAACTTACCCTCAAAATGGAATTCTAGGATTAGATGGAATTCTAAGATTGGATGTTGGGTAATCCGTGATATGTGCTGGTATCACAATTTCTCAGATTATCTGTCACCAGTGATACTATGGGATGCGTTACAGATGGTGAGAAAGACATTGGGAGACTCAACTGACAGGGGCATTTAGTCGCTATAGCAAGAACTGTAGCATCAGCTGATTGTAGAGTGACCTGTCAACCTTTTATAGCCCTTCTTCTTATGGCATACAAAGGGGAAAATAAATTACATGTTACGAATATACACAAGAACACCCATGAACATACATGGAGAATCAGGACACATCCATGGAGCTCTAAAAGGAGTCTTCCATATCCTGTGCTTGTAGACAAAGACTTAGACTTGAGACCAAGTCTAAGGTCTGAGCATATGAATTGCAGACTTGCAGTGACAATTAAATGGTCCACCCCATCAGCTCTCTTATGCTAAGGTAAGGGTACCGGTAGAAAAAAGTGGAACTGTGAGACCTGGGATGGGCACATTTACACAGACATGGATGAGGCTGAGAACAGCCAAGCTCCAAGTCCCCCTGAATCTCCTTGCCTGAGGAGGCAGCCTTCCCCAAGTCTCTGAGGCAGTCATCTTTTCTCTGCATAAAAGTCTTTCAGTGACTACACCTGGAATAGTTGCCTCTCGAGGCAGTGTCTAGTCCCCTTAGGGCCCCTGTTTGGCTACTATAAAAGGCAGAGGAGTCATGGGGAAATGACAGATACCACAAATGTTAGTCAGGTGGTGATGATAAAAACTTTGCAATTCCAGAGGTGGTATCTTCTCTGGAGCAAATTAACACAGCATTAGGCACCTGATATGGATGGAACAACTGACCTAGAAACTGCTTTTTCCTTCATTCCCATTGATAAGCAAAGTCAGAATAGATTTGCATTTACGAGGTGGGAACAAGAGTATTCACTTTACTATTCGTGTCTCAGGACAATGCCAGCTCCCTTGTTCTTTGTTGTACTATAGACCCAAGGGACTCCAAACATCTTGCCATCCCACGGAATACCATACTGGTCCATTATATTGATAACATGATGCTGGCAGGTCCTGGTAAACAGGAAATAGCAGTCACCCTGAATGCTTTTGTGATTAATCTGCATAAATACACACACAGAGAGACACTATATAGACATATATATAAAACAAAGAAGCCTATCTTTTCTTGACTTTACTGTGAATGGATCCCATATTTCACTGTTTAATGTTCACGGTTTCAAACAAACACTTTTTTATCACGAAGTTTCTTTCTACTTCTGTTTTATTTAGAATGGCTGCAGAGTTTCATCAAATGTTGTTTCAGCATCTTTGATCACACTCAGTGGTGTGCTGGCGAATGTTAAACAGCTGGTGCTGCAGCAAACGGGGGGCGGGGGGGAGGGGGGGTGCTTTCCATGATGTAAAGATTCCCATCAGACCTGATTTCAAGCTGCTGATGTAATGTCACTGAATGCAGAGGTAGATAGAATTTTTCTATCTATACTAATCAGTAAAATTGGTTTACCTTTTTCAGGATCTCTATTTACGAGGTTTTGGCATGAGAGTTATATTAAACTTGAAAATAAAGTAGAAAAGCTTCCATCTTTTCCCATTAACTTATTGATCTAGAATAGCCTCATTAATGTAGTAATCATGTGTTTAATCAAAGTTAGGTGGAAATGCCACTGAGCTTTGTGCCTCACTTAGTGCTAGATGCTTGGCTATCTTGTCCATTCCTTATCCGAATACTGTTATTCTCATTTTCTATGACCCGTAGCTAATTGCTGTGAATGTATACATTCGAGTTCTGTCTCCTTGCATATATGCCATAGAACCACATCTACATACACACATATTTCTTTCTTCACCAGAGTGGGTGTTTGTCTATTCTATTGGATTTTCAAAGAATCAACTCTTGGTCTTAAAATCAAACATGGATTTGAAGTTGTTTGTTTTTTAAAGATTTTATTTTTATTTTTATTTTTTGGAGAGATTGAGAGCATGAGCAGGAAGGAGAGGGAGAGAGACTCTAAAGCACACTCTGTGCTGAGTGCTGAGCACAGAGCACTGATTGGGTCTTGATCCCGCGACCCCGAGATCATGACCTGAGCCGAAACCAAGAGTCAGGTGCTTAACTGACTGAGCCACCCAGGTGCCCCTGAAGCTGTTTTCTAATGCATTAATTTCTGTTCAAAACTTTAAAAATTCTCTTTTACTTTCTTTTGGTTTTATTTTTTGTTTCCTAGAACCTGGAGTTGAATGACTAGTTGATTTATTTTCAGTCTTTCTCATTCGATATGATAAAAGAGTTATTAATTACTCTCATGAAGGTCATTCATCTAACAAACAGCTACTGAGTAACTACTATGTTCCGGGTTCTAGTAAATGGGATGGGTAAGCTAGAGCCCGTCTATGGGTTTGGACCACCACCTGCTTTTGTGTGGATTGTGAGTTAAGAATGATTTTTACAGGTTTAAAGTTGCAAAACAAAGATTATGCAACAGGGATCACTTGTGGCCTGAGAAGACTAAAATATCTCCCTCCATCTGGTCCCTTACAGAAAAAGTTTGCAGGCTGCTGGTCTAGTGTAATGGCAGGAGAGATGCCTAGGCAGTTACCATTAACCAGAACCCTTCCACCCCAGAGTGTGCCTAATGTGGAGATTTCTATCTTAGTCATCATCCTCCAGTGTAGCGATTCTCAAATGTTTTTATATATGTATTTCATTCACACACAAAATATTTTTCATCAGCAATATTTCCCATTGCAGATGTCCCCCATAAAGAGGGAGAGGGGAGCCTTAAGGACCACTGCCACCATTCTCAATAGTCTATAATAATGCAAATGTTAATTTTATCAGTGACCATTTCAGTGATGTGGCTCTCTCTCTCTGGTTTTCAGGTTAAAAAGAAAACTATTTTTTTTTTTTTTTAAGGATTTTATTTATTTGACAGAGAGAGAGAGAGCACAAGTAGGCAGAACAGCAGGGAGAGGGAGAGGGAGAAGCAGGCTCTCCACCGAGCAGGGAGCCTGACGTGGGGCTCGATCCCAGGACCCTGGGATCATGACCTGAGCTGAAGGCAG